GATCCCTGTCATGACAATCTTTCAGTGGCAGGCTAAATCAACACCACCCGTACCCAATGTTTTGTTACAACAGCCAATAAGGTGTGAAGTGACAGAGTGGGTAACACTTCCTCTGGGTTAACAAGGTGTGACTGAGAATTCCTGGTGTTATCTAAAAGAAATAGGACAGACAGATAGACTTAGACACGAACTGTGAAGGGTAAAAGTTTTCTTTTCTTTTTTTTTTCTCATACAGATGGCTGATGGGCAGTTTGGGCAGCCAGACAGGGAAAGTGAAGAAAAATACTTAAGTGAGAGCAGAGATGAAATTTCCCTTTCTCTCTTTCTCTGCAGGGGCAACTCAGGCTTGAATGTCAAGTCAAACTGCAACGATCTGCTGTGAGGCCGTGGAGATGAAAAATTCAGAACGGAGCCGTGAGACCTCATCAGTTAAAAAGACCTTGGCATTTAAACCTTTGTGGCCAACTCTTACATTAATGTCTCAAGGAAGATGAGGAGGGAAGCAGGCTGACAGGAGAGCATGGACAATGAAGGCTGATGGGTGGCCTCATAAAGCAACTTATTACATATGATGCCTTTGTCAAAAGTTGATGTCAGCAGCAAAGTAATTTATATATAAATGTCATTCCTACATATGCTGCTCATGATTCTCATTAACAATTTTCAAAACCCAAAGTTCAATTTAAATCAAAAGTAATCAAATAAATATCAGACATACATTTTTTACATTAAAAACGTTGCTTTTTTTTGTACAAAGCACTTTTAAAACAGAACGATCTGATTATAAATCCTTTGTATCATATACTTCATCCAACATAGTGTTCTGCAAGTTCTGCATTAGATTAAAATAACCTCACAGGGTTTTCCGTACCATTATCAAATAACTGATACATCACCATGCACAGTATTTAAACACATTATAGTGCTGCTGGTGTTGTCTGCTAAAACAATAAAGTTAAATGCTGAGCAGTACTATATCTGTCAGGGTTCTTTCCTCTGTTTTGGGTAATTTTCTTTGTAGCTTTTGTGTCTTTGTAGTTGTTTCTAGCTGTTGATTTTTTGAGCTACTCTCTGTTGTTCCTTTCCCCTTGGCTTTATTCTTGTTAATTCCACTCACACCTCAGGTCATTAGCCCATCCTTTGTTCTGTTTCCCATATATACACACCCTCTGCAGTAACTCAGTGCTGGTTTCTTGTGGTTGTAGTTTGGTTGCTCTGTCGTTTCCTGGCTCCTCGTGTTTGTTTTCCCTTCTGTTCCCTGTTAGGATAATTATCATTGATGATGTTTGAAGTTTATTACACCTTAATATTAGCTGCCTGTTGCAGGTCAGAACTGATGTTTCCCCAGTAGATTATCTAATTAATACAGCTCCTCTGTCCGGATACACAGTTATAATCTTCATTCTGTACGTGACAAATATTTGGGAATGGAATGAGAGTGGTGTCCTTCAGCTGAGAACAAAGTGTCATAATTTGATAAGGCTGGAGTCATGGATGTCTCCTCATCTGCAAACGTGTATGATGTGATGATGTGGCATACTGAAGTATAAAATGCTTCTCTACCTGTTTGTAAGGGCCACTTTCCGTGAAGTGACCCCGGGTGGTAGTGCTGCCTTCTGTAACTCTAAGCAACTTCGCTCATCTGAGTAAGATTACAATTTCTATCAAAATATGTTGTCATATTATACATTATATATACATTATGAAGCGTTATTGAAAGAGTTTGTCCGAGTGATCTTTTTTCAGGAAAAATAACCATAGAGAGAAAGCTTCAAGGTGCAGACATAGATCTTTAACATCTCCTAGATTTTTATTTTTATTTATTTTTTGTTTGTTTTTTTGGCCTCAGTTGCCTGTAGAAACTCGTTAAATCTGCAAACTCATCTCTGCATCCTCATCTCTGCATTTGGGTCCTCAAAAACCTCCAGCCAGCCTGACAATATCAGATAAAGGGAACTGCGTTATACAATTTATGGTCATGTCTGATTTGAGGTGCATTTTTAATGACTTTCTTCTGCTGATGAATAATTAATCCTGATGATAAAAATACTTACATGTGTGAGGAGAGTGGAAATACATAATGTCTACTTCTCTGGCATTGTGGGAAAACCTCTCTTACACTAAACATTTTATGACTGCTCTACCTTTCCCACCTTTGTTCATTATAGAATATGAGGGAAGAAAGCAAAGCCATTGTAATGCAAACAGTTAAAGGTGGTTTTCCAGCTGAATAGATCACTGGCTCAGCATCACAGTGACTCACATTATGTTTGGTGTTCAGATTAAAAACATTTAACCTTGACATCCAAGACCAATCTCAGGCCTTAAGCTCTATTTAGTGTCGTTACCCAAATTCTGATAATACAACTAGTGGCCTCATAAATTCATAATGATGTAAAACTGTATTTTTCCCTCAGAGATGTCTTTTGATTTTCTCTTAATTACTTAAATAGTCTTATAAGATCAAACCTATTTCTTTTTCAGAGGAGAATAAACTGGATAAATAGAAAATGCATTTTTTTTCATATGGGGATTTCCTTGACCTTTATTTGATGTTTTGTCACCCTGCAATATGTGATTAGGTGAATATGCCTGTTGTGTAAATTGCTATGAGTGGTTTATATGAATAGAGAAGCCCCATAGGTATTCAGTCCATTTACCTTTAATTAGGGAACTTAGCTGTCCAAAGCAATTTGATCTAACAGCACCGCAGCCCAAGATCATCACCTTCTTTTACTGTATTGTAGACTGACCACTACAGTGAGGATCTTCAGTGAATCACTGAGTTAAGGCCCAAAAAGAGTTAGGCAAACTGTTTGAGATTTCCTAGTCAAGCATTCCCCTTCCCAAAATGTCTTATCACAAATTCCTGTATATCTTTTCTGCTATGCTGTCATTAGCCAAGAAATAATGGTGAATAAAATATGTAGGGACTCAAAATGGCAGACTGATAAAGCACTGCATTTGAACTTATTGAAGAGGACCCCTTTTCATTACATGTCCAGAGAAGGAGTATCACCAGATGCATCTCCGTGATATTATAGGGAAATTCAGCCCAGCAGTCACAAAGACAAGCTGTCTGCAATAATTCTTTCTCCTACAGGAAAGAATCTGACCAAAGATCCATAGAGAAGGACTCTATGATCACTGAGTGAAGTGGTTTTCTCCTTCCACCAGCTACAACCCTCAGCCTGCTGAGTTAACAAGCCAAGCAGAAACACCCAGAACTACTACAGACCTTTTGGTTCTCAAACACAAACAACCACAATGAACTTTAATATAATTTCATTATTTTATTAGTTATGGTTATTAGTCAATTTTATAAGTATTTTTTTCTATATGATACATAGTTCAATATTTTTCTTTAATCATATAAATATTGCTCAGAACATTTTTATTTAAATTTCACCAGCTAAGTTAAAGTTTTATCAACTGGGATTTGATTGTCAGTGGTAGTTAAATCGTTTCTGTAAATAAAGGCTTTTATAACTAAAGCGAAGTTGTCACAAAAGTCATCAGAAGTCTGCAGAGTTTACAGTTTGAGAATGCCACTACTCTGTTTACTCAACCTACTGTCCAAATCCCACTGCCCTATTTGACAAATATTCACAGGGCAACATCTGACAGACCAAAGCTTATTTGGTCAAGTATTAAAACTTCCACTGTATCTAATTGCATGACAGCATCCTTTGCTCAGAGTAGTGTGTTATGATCAAATATCTGCTGGAAACATAGCTGATCTTTGCAGGGCAGATACATATGACAGTTTAATGTAAAAATCTTTTTTACTTTTGCCACTGAACAGCTTTTGTGCAACATGGGGCATAAGATTCTAAAGATGTGTGATGTCCAGCAGAGACCTGCTTCAAGTCCAGATTCAGTCCACCTTGCAGCTATCCATCAACTAATGATCTAAACGTAACTTGTAAGAATTTATTATATTTTCTATTTGTTAGAGTTAAATGGGAGCTATGTTAGACTATACTGAGATGTTATGGTAAATGTTTTCTTTCTATTACATTACTTTTTAGGGAGCAGAGATGTTGCCAGTATTTTTGTTTTAGGGCCCAAGGTGACAGGTATTTACTGCTCAGCCATGTATCATGCAATATATATTAAAACTGGAGGATCTAAAGGATTTGGCATATACCCAGATGAGTAGCAGTGTGGAATTTTTATTGAAAAGTCCCTAGTCCAAATATTATTCTATATTTCATAATTCATCACTTTTTCAGAATCCATTATATCAGTATTATGGTCTACTTAAAACATTCAAAATACTTCAAACTCCTTCAATTTCTCTCCCAGTCATTCAAGAATGCAGCAGAAATAGTTAAAAAGACACTCCCCTCCATGTCTCACAAACTGTAGAGTGGAGGTGTCGATGATTAAAGGTTTTTCCAAGAATTTTCCTTATTTAGTTTGTGTTATGCCAGCAGGAAATGAAAAATAAAGGAAATAAAAATCTTTCACCTGTGCAAGGGGTCATCACTGTGGGAAAAAAATCCTATGTCTGTCAGACCAATTAAGGTTTATTTGATTATTCATTTTTGAAGAACTTAATATAATGGAGTGAGAGAATAAACACCAGCAGCCGCATGCTAATTAATGCACAGACAGGCATACCGATTATTAAGCACATTCAACAAAGTCCCATGTTCTAGTTTGTGTATTGACAAGATTAAATATGTTGCTTTCCAGCCGTAATCCAGCTGATCTGTTGTTTAAATGTTAACACTGTCCACTCTGCATACTTAGCATGTTACTAACACAGACCATATAAAAAGGTGCCTGTTCACATGGTTCTGGAGAATACATCAGCTACTTGAGCTATCAGTGAAACAGGACAAGTTACTACCATACTTGCTATTGTGCTACTTCAAGGTTGCGTGAGTTCTCAGGCTTTTCTTTAATTTGTCAACTGAATAAAGCAGCAAATAATCACTGCAGAATTCTGAAACCTACTGATTACATATGGAGACATATATCTGCACACTGACCTGACCCAGGAGCTCGGGTAGGCCCAGCACCTGTCCTGTGAAAACTCCCAAGCAGATCAGGATGGAGTTGAACTGGCCAATGGAACCTCTGATGTGTTTCGGGGATATTTCTCCCAGGTACATGGGAAGGGCACTCAGAGATATACCTGGAAAAAAGTGTCAAATACAATATCACTGTACATTCTAGTGGATAGAAGTGGTAACAACATAATGGTGATTATAAAATTGGTGGAATCTAAAGCTGTATATGCACCAGCAGTTAGGTATTTCTCTCTGAGTTCAATTGTTGGCATTTTTTTACCCAGGTTGATTTCTCCAAATCTGTTTGCTGTTGTCTAAATTAGTTTCTATTGGGGTCTTTTGGTCTGATGGTGTTTTGCATGGTGTCATTTTTTTCTAGGCTTGATTGGTTTATATCTGTTTGGTCTCGGGCCAAAGGGCATTAGGGCAAAAAAGGATCAGATGTTTTATCTAAGGAGTGTTGATGGGATGCATCTTGGTCTCTTTTGTTTGAGCATGTGATCTTATTCAGTTTAGTCCTAATCAGTTTGGTTTGAGCCAAATGGTTGTTAGCCAAATAGGGTGAATGCTGTTTGGTCTGAGTCCCTTTATCCTGTTTTTTTTGTTGTTGTTTTTTTGTCTGGGTCCACATTGTCTGATACCATCTGAGGAATTGGTCGGAGGGTCATTTCATAATTTTGTACTGTTTGATCTCTGATTTTATTTTTGGCTGATTTCAGAGGATTTTTTTTTTTCCTGAGAGACAAAGATGTCTTAAAATGTACATTGCGCTAATAATATTTATCAGCTGAAACATGGAAAAATCAGTGACACTGAGAAAATCGATACTTAGAGAGCTTTTATTGGGGCAATAAACAAAACTAAATCAACTCTTTGGTTTAGTTTTCTTCAGTTTTAGTTACAAGTCCTTCCTGACTGCCAACTTGAATACAGAATATGCAGTTTTTGCTTTTTTATTTTTTTGTTTAAAACTTTTCCCTCAATTAAAGGATCTGAGTAAAGTTTCTATCTCACTGTTGGTTTGAATATGTAAGGGGTGGTTGCTGCCAAGAGTGCGGTGAAGTCATCTCTGATTGAGGTCTGTTGTTACGATCTTCCTCTGGGGTTTGGAGGAAGCTCTCCGAACAGAAGGCAATTAGAGCAACGCTGCTGTCTGATCTCTGCTGAATTCATATTTGATAGGTAAAATATTTTCCACATCTGCCAATTTTTTTTCTTTTGGCTCTAAATAAAGCTGCTTCAAATACGTTTTTACTTCATGTATTATAACTTGATTTTTTTAATGTTATTTATTACACAAGTTATGCATTTAAAAAAAGCAGCCTTAGTATTAGAAATTACCCAAGTATGAACCTGGAACCTATTTTAGGTTGAAACATTTAGTAAATGTTAAAAAAATAATTTCTCTTTAGAAGTGTTCAGTCTCTTGGTTGCTTAAAGTTGTTCAGCTGCTGGGCGACTCAGGCTCACATCTTGGGTTGTGTCTAATGGTTTTCATTTTTTACACCTGTTTTTTAACAAAATAGTTGGAGTTGTACACAAAGGACCAGATCTTCATTGATTCCTAATAAGATGGGTTAAATTGCACCTACAATTTCGTTTTAGTATGTGCAATAGGGGGGCGTGTTGCTGGTGATCTACAAAGATTGCTGTGAAAGTTACTTGATACAAACTAATTTGGTTCCGCCCATAAAAAAGGTGCAAACTGCCTGTTCAACAGGTCTTTTGAGAGTGGTCGTGACCAAGAGATGAAGCTGAAAGCCACAGAGATGCAGATCATAATGATAACAAATTAACAGTATAGTAATGGTAATGATAAATAATACACTGCCTGGCCAAAAGAAAAGTCGGCACCAAAAAAAAAGGTCAATCACTCTAATACTTTGTTGGACCGCCTTTAGGTTTGATTACGGCACTCATTCGCTGTGCCATTGTTTCGATAAGCTTCTGCAATGTCAAAAGATTTATTTCGATCCAGTGTTGCATTAATTTTTCACCAAGAACTTGCATTGATGATTGTAGAGTCTGACCGCTGCGAAAAAAGCCCTCTCTAGCACATTCCAAAGATTCTCATGGGGTTGAGGTCTGGACTCTGTGGTGGCCAATCCATGTGTGAAAATGATGTGTCATGCTCCCTGAACCAGTCTTTCACAATTTGAGCCCGATGAATCTTGGAATTGTCATCTTGGAATATGCCTGTGCCATCAGGGAAGAAAAAGTCCATTGATGGAATAACCTGGTCATTCAATATATTCAGGTAGTCAGTTGACCTCATTCTTTGAGCACATACTGTTGCTGAACCTAGACCTGACCAACTGCAGCAACCCCAGATCATACTGTAACACCGCCCCCACAGGCTTGTACAGTAGGCACTAGGCTTGGTGGGTGCATCACTTTACCTGCCTCTCTTCTTACCCTGATTTGCCCATCACTCTGGAACAGGGTAAATCTGGACTCATCAGATCACATGACCTTCTTCCATTGCTCCACAGTCCAATCTTTATGCTCCCTAGCTAATTGAAGCCTTTTTTTCCGGTTAGCCTCACTGATTAGTGGTTTTCTTACAGCTACACAGCTGTTCAGTCCCAATCCCTGGAATCTCACCACACGTTTAAGTGATCGCCGATTACGATCATTCAGGATTTTTTTCCAGCCACATTTCTTCCTTGAAGATGATAGGTCCCCACTATCCTTCCAGTTTTTAATAATACGTTGGCCAGTTCCTAACCCGATTTTAGTAGTTTCTGCAATCTCTTTAGATGTTTTCTCTGCTTGATGCATGCCAATGATTAGACCCTTCTCAAACAGCCTAACATCATTTCCCTCGACCACGGGATGCGTCTTTCGACATGGTTGTTTAGGAAATGAGAAGCAAGTCATTGGACCACTTGGGCTTAAATAACTTGTTGCCAGCTGAAAGATAATCTCCCATGCAGTAATTATCCAATAGGATAATTACTGCTTACCTCTTTGCTTAGTTAAATTCAGGTGGCGACTTTTTTTTTGGGCCTTTCAATGCCCCACCCCACGTCTCTTGAAAGACTCTTTTAATATTCTTCCTTTTTTAATAACCATGCAACAATTAAGTCCGAAAAAAGGATTAAGTCTAATCATTTTTTGTGATTTGGTTTGATTGTATTAAGATCTTCCGTCTTGCTGCATAACTTTCCTTTTTAATGTTCCTTTAGTATTGATATTTACGAAGGTCCAAATATGTTTACATGCACACAGAATCTCTCTCCAACCCCTGGTATTGTACCAATGACTCCTTGGTGGCAACAATGACAGCAGATATTTATGCAAATCAGTTTTTTTGTACCTGACTTTTAGAAGTACTAAAAAAGACGCAACAATTGCTGATGCAGTTCAGTTTCCAATTTGAAATAATTGCTTTGCCTGTGGTAAATGTTTACATTTGCATATCCTCTACCCATGAGTTTGTGCGTTTTGGTCATAAGAATATGATCTGCATATTGATGAAGACACGCATGCAGAAAAAGGTTTCCACACTCTCTGCTATCGGAAATCAGTTTGCGCCTTCTTTGAAGGTCTGCTCTGCATGTACTGTACGCTCGTCTGGTTTAAGACATGGAACCGTTGTGAAGATCAGGCTCTTAGTTGAATGAAAAAAATGTGTCATTCAGTTGCACACTGACCTGAGTTTACCCCCATAATGATCCGGCCAATGATGAGCATCTCGAAAGATTTTGATATCTCGCCCAGTGAAAGTAATAAAGCAGCTATCAGTGAAAAGCAGTTATTCAGCAGCAAGGTTCCCTTTCTGTAAGACAGAAAAACAATAAAGACATGACACTATAAGAGAAATAAAAGAGAACATTAGGTATAGACATGATAGCAAGACATTTGCTGAAGCTTTAATTAAGATTAAAAAGTGCACAGCAAGCACATCTCACTTTTGTCAGAACATTTCCACAAGGCACTTAGAAGTAAAACATACAGAAGTGTGGAGACTTCAGACACTTTGTACTAAGAAAAAAGAAAGACTGCATTTTTTTCTGGCTTTAAAAGGACAAAGTGGATGGAAAGGATGTATAACCACAAAATAAAGCCCCTTAGGTGAAAACACTCAAATGCAGTTATATAAGTTTTAAGTACAGACAAACATCTACTATATTTCACCTTTTTCCTTTGCCCAAAACACTGCAGGATATCTTGCTGAGCACAACCCTGCCCCTTCAACCCAGGGAAAAAATTTTGGCATTACCTCAGGCATGGGACCTCTATCTAAGAGCTTTCACCTAAAATATAGAGCTAGCTCCACACTGAAAGGGCCAACAAACTGTTAAACCTTCAGGGAGGCTTTTCAGAGCTAATTTCAATTCGCCTGTGCTCCAGGACAAACGTAGCCTGACTCTCATATTTTTACCTTTCACACACCAAAAACAACATGAAATGTCCCTTTGGAAATCCCAAGAGACTTTAAATATATCAAAGCAGGTGACTCCTTTAAGCGCTTTGAGGTGTAATATCTTTCTGAGTAAACTTGAAATAAATCCACTGAAGCAAACCATATTATTATCCTTTTTATGTAAGCAAACATGGAAACAAAGTTAATATTTTTCACACTACTGAGAAGGGTCGTATTTTTAAACAACGGTAAATCAAATCAGATAAATTAAACACGATAGCAAAAACAGTAAAAATTAAAGAGTCAGATATGTGTAGAATTGTTTTTTTATACAAAAGATTTGACAGTAAATATTTTCTCATTCCTTGGTGTTTTACAGCACTTTGTATGCTTCAAACCATATGTAGGATTTGAAAAAATTAAAATGCTGATAATAAAACAAAAGATTACTCTTTTAATCTGATTCATCGCTCTATAAATCTTATAAGGGTATCTATTAGTTCAGGCTCAATCTCTAGTTTGCTACCACATGGATGCACAAAACTCCATCATATTGAAAATATATGGATTCAAGATTTAACCAAGAGGATTTTTCATATATGATTTATAACTTGTTTCATAAAATATTCAATTACAAAAAACTTGGGAAATTGGTTTTCTTCAAAATGCCCTTTAAAAATGCCTCTGAATGTCAACAAAATGAAACAAGCTTCATGTATATGTATGAACTTATTTGCATCCAGGTAAACCTACTTTCAAAAAATGTTTTATATACATTACCATTCTTGAATATATAATATTTGATACACACACTTTATGATGAAACTAAGCTATTTAGACTAAAGAGAAAAATGTTCTGACCTAAAATCCCCCAATGTCAGGGTTCAAAGGAGCAGTTGCTCATTTTAACTGTTGCGAGAGAAAAGCAAACCATCTCAAACCTCACTAACATGAAATCATAGTTAGAAAAAAAAAATAACGTGCAATGCTGTCTTCATATCCTGTCTTTATTATGAAAAAGAGTATTAAAAAAAACATTAACCTTAGCTTTACTTGAAAACTTTTAATGAACTCCTTGGTCACTTTTTTGTAGAATTGCTGTCTTTCATCTCTGCATGTGTCTTCCTTTTCTATTATTCACCCTGACATCTGAAAGTCAGCCTATTCAGGATAACCAGCTGGGCAAAAGATGTCTAACAGAGCATATATTTAAAAAAAATTAAAGCTCTCAATCGACACACAAGAGAAATCTAGAGAAAGATTCAAGGTGAAGCTTAGGGTGTTGTAATGGCCACAAATAGAAAGAATGAGTGTCAGAATTCTTCCCCTGCTCTGACACTGATGTCCTGGTAATTAGTGGTTAATGGATTCTTTTGAATTGAAATTATTTTCAAAGCACAGTAGGTGATGTCTAGCCTTAGTCAGTCCCTGGTGGGTTGAGGGCTCACAGCCCTACACACAAATGATGTGAAGCTACCTCACTTGTCCAAACCCTGAGAAACTCATTACACTAGCTGTGAGACTTGATCTCAGTGTGCAGGAAAAGTTGTCATAGCCCTCCTGTTAGATCAAAAGTAACTCAATTTTTCTCTTCCCCTGTTTTTTTGCTCCTATGCAGGTCTATTCAATTGTGCGACAGCATAATGTTGCCAGTTGGTTATATAATAGTGGTGTCTGCAAATGAATCATTGAAGTACAGACTCAAATAGAAATTACGGTCTGTGACACTCTATTTGTCCAAGGCAGGTCAAGATAGACCCTAAAACACAGATGACTACAATAGCAGTAAAAGGCAGTTATAAAAAGTGTACATGAATAGACAAACAGGCCAATCCTTTTATATTTTAATCAGGAAAACCTTTAAAATGATATATGCTATCTAAAACATCCCAGCTATGCAGTACTTGTCTTGTATAATGTCAGGAAGAAAAAAATGAAGTTTGTTGGCACTTGTGTCACATGAGGTATGTATGATCAGCTCTGATTTAAGTCTCGGATTACATGAGAAGATACTAATAGAAAAAAAATACTTTATACTGAGAGGAAAAAAAATACTCTTGCACTGAAATCTGAAGCAAGTCTGAAAAAAGGAATATGCAGCAATTACTCTGCAATCCTCTGATCCACTCTGGGTTCTCATCTGTTATACAATTAATCATTCCACCAACTTGTCTTTCATTACTTCTCCTATCAATCTACAGTCTGACACTGGGGTGAACTTTCCAGGAAGTCCACTCTTGCAAAAATTGTTCACTAAGTAAATGATTGTTTTAACTCTTGTTGGGAAAAGGGGAATTGTTGGGAAATTGGTTCACAGTTTTTATAAAACTGATTAGCAGCTATTTATAATTCCCCAAAACAGCTGTTGATATCCTTCCTTGTTGACTGAGTGTGAAATGTTTAAACAAGCATGGATGGCTGGCAACCATTCAAATTTAACAGTTTCCCTCCACTTACTGATGCTTAATTAATCAAGTCCCATTTAAGAAACAGCGTGTTACTTCAACTTATCTTAATTCCACTGAAAGCCCCAAGGATGCATTTTGTGTTTCATATCAAAAAGTAATACCAAAATAATGCCCTGATTTATTAACTCTAATCAGAAATGCACTGCACTTACCTTTTCAGTAGGATTTAATTCAACTCACCGTCCTACTACTTTGATAATCGAAGAGACTGATAAAGTTCCAAGAAGGCCTCCGATGGCAAATATGGACACAGTGATGGACCACAGAAGAGTGGATGTCTCTGGAAGAATAGGTTCCCCATATCTTTCCATCCAGGTCTTATTGTAGAAAGCTTTTATGTACTGAAAAACACAAGAGGAGTGCAGATGTAGCCTTTTTCAGATGTTTGATCAATATTCCAGAAAATCAAAACAAAAAAAATGACAACAAAAAAAAAACAGCAGCACTGATAGCTCTGTTAGCTGTTATGATTATTGCTGTAAGTGAACTGTATATATGTATTTTTTCTAGGCATTTTTAAGCCATATTCAAATAATTTGTGCAAAAAAGAATAAATAACAGAATATATAACTCCATCCATCCATGTTCTCCGACTTATTTCATCAGTGTCACAGTGAGGCCGGTGCCTATCTTCAGCGGACTATGGGCGTAAGGTGGTGACACCCTGGACAGGTGACACACACTCACACCTACAGACAATTTAGAGAAGCCAATTAACAAAGCAGTCATGTTTTTTGACTGTGGGAAGAAGCCGGGGTACCTGGAGAGAACCCACACAGGCACAGGGAGAGCATGCAAACTCCACGGAGAAAGACCCCAGGCCGGAAATCGAACCATCTTGCTTTAAGGCAACAGTGCTACAAACTGTGCCAGCATGTAGAATATATAACTGCTAAAATTATCTGTTAAAAACAAAAGACAGGTTCATACAGACTGAAGTTTCCGCCTTCTACATCCACGCTGTAATAAAAGGAACTTCCATAAAACAATTTAGGGCTTAACCTTAACTATTAAAGTTTTACTTTTGCGTTTACTAAAACTTAAACTATGTTATTCTAAGTTAGAATCCTGATTTTTGTAAAAAAAAAAAAAAAAAAAATCTGTTTTTAATAATACCCTCTATTTAGCATTTACTGTTCCACAGATGGGAAGTTTGTTATCTACAATTTTACCTAGGGTCTGTATCAGAGGCAATCCTCTGACCATTACAGTCCCTAAATACTGGCTACTTAAGTTACAAGTTGCAGTGACCTAAGAATCAAATAAGCCATCTATAGGAAACATTGTCATTGTACAAAGAGCAAAATATTATTTTGGTTGACAGCAGAAACATTGTTAAAAAAAAAACTAAATATGACATCCACCTGATTTTAAATTATGAATTGTGTTAATATTTGCTGTTGATTGCCATGGTCTAATCATCTGAAATAAATAATAATAGTAATTGGATCTATTGAAAAGAGCTGCTAAAGTAATTTACAAGAAAGATTGTTGTAAAGTCATTTAAAAAAAACTTTGTGCTGTTCAACTGGGAGTGGTCTTTTCAACAATAATGCTTAGCACTAGTGATGCACCGATACAAATACCAGTATCGTGCAGGTCCCCGATACAGCACTAAAATGGTGGTATCTGCGAGTACCAACAAATAGGGCACCGATACGATGTTGAGAAGCAAAAGTTTATGCAACTATTGTCACCAATTCCAGGTAGGCAGGTTAGTCTTTTTCCTGCTTCACAAAGGTAGGCAGCAGCTTGACAAGACAGATGGTATCAGTATGTTATCCGTATGGCAAATATTGCACAGCCAGGTATCGGGGCCAAAAAATAGCATTGCCACAACACTACTTAGCGTAACTGTGTTCTGCTGCTGTTTTTCTTTTTATTTATTTATCAATAACTTATCAATAACTTAACACTGCTTTATCCATAATTTCTTTTTTCATCTTTGGCTTTACAGCTTATAGTTTTATATGTTGATATTTGTGTACAGTAAGTCTGGTGTCTACTGTGTTCTTCTTTCTACCAGTCCCACACAAATCTCTGTTCTATTCTATTCTATTCTGTTCTTTCTATTGTATGACACTACTCTTTTGATTATCCCACTTCAGAAAAAATAACCTATTATTTCAATCTAAAATGACTCGGATCAGTATCAGGGACAAAATAGACAGTCAGAACATCCAAACTTGCAAAATTTGGCTTTACAAATGATTTTCTACAGGATGCAGAACAGCTTTTAAAGGCATCAAAGTCACAAAATTCAAGGCAATGAAGTTAGAAACTGGTTGAAAGTTGATTTTGTTTTAGCTCCAAATGAATTGAAAGAAATGAACTAGAAATATAAGGAACCCACAGTTTAAACTTTCACAAAATTGCATCTCTGTAGCTTCAGCTTTGTGTTATTTCAGACATTTATTTTTAGGTGGCTGATCCACCCACCACTTCTTCCCTGAGGAACTCAGGGTGTTCAAGAGAGATTCAAAAATTATTCATAAACGAAACAAGTTTACTCATATTTCTCCTACTGACACGAACATCCATCTCAAGATGGATATTTTCCAGAGAACGTCACTGCACACAGCAAGTCACGAAAAGACCCAATTATAGAAGCAGTTCAGGCCAGGAGGATGGTAACAAATCACATATTTAGATATATTAACAGCATGTTTCCTTGCATTTACTGCATTTCTGACTCTTCATATATAATTCCATCATTCACTGAGAACATAAAATAGCTGCTGGAGATGGACCTGCTGTGCGTGGAGACAAGTGGATGTTGTTTTATGTAAGCATGCTGTGCTTTGACATGCTGTTTGAAGAGGATATTGTTTTTTTAGTGGATTGGTACTAAAAACACCGATTAGGGTCCTTTGTAAAGCTGCCCTATTTGGTGTGTGCTTATTGGGGGATGGTGGTGGTGGTGGTGGGGGGGGTTTCATTGTAATAAATTCTGCTGCCTTTTTTGTGCTACTCCTTTGCAGCTAAGATGCTGATGAGAACAGACAGACTCCTCTGTGATCATAGAATCTGGTACGGTGGGAGAACATCCTCTAAAAAGAGGGCCTCATTCATTTTTCATGAATTTGGAAAGACAGTGGAAGCAGCGATAGACCCCCTGCAGTGGCTGACAGAAATAAGCAATACATTAATGATCTGCTTGTGTTTCTTGTGGGCAGAGACTATAAAGGAGCATAAACAATGAGGAATTGCTTGACACGTTAACAAAATAGAGAATTAGCTGCAACCACAGAAGAACAGAAGCCGCTTCAAAGGGGGGACTCAGTCTGTTTGAAGTTGAGAAAGGGAAATATGTTTGAAAACAAATGTTTAGTTTTGTTTATTTTTGAATTTGTACAAAATCTCAAGACAAGGTAAAAGCAAAATAAGTTCCACATAAAAGCAAGTGTTACAATCTAGAAAGAATGATCTACAGTACATGAGCTTTTTATCTGGCTCTTAAAAACACCTGTATATTTTGGTATGACAATACCAACCTCCCTCCACCTCGGACCTCTATACATCAAGATGCGGGGGGAGGGTCCTCTGCATCATGGAGGACTCCACCCATCCAACACACTTTTCCAGCCTCTCCCCTAGGGTAGCATCCAGAGCTAAACCCCCAGGATCAGAAACTGTTTCCATTGGCAAGTGTTAGACTGCTGAACGTGAGCTGCACTAAATTCAGCTTAATCGATTTCTCTTTCTTTATTTGAATATGGAGCTTAGTGAACTGAGACCTGATTTTAAATTTCATATTGCAAGTATTAACATATAAACTGGTATGACTATCTACGGTGTGGGAACAAAACAGCACTGTGTGGTTTTCAAATGTCTATCTGTTACGGTACAAGAAATTGGAATGGCCTATATACACCTTTGCATCTTGTTCAACTAAAGTCCAAGTTGGCCTCTGGATTTTTCAAGTTTGCTGTGAGAGACTCATTTCTTGTTCAGGGGGTTGAATTTATAATGAGGAATGATCTTGCTGGAGAACAGGTACTGCCTATCCCCTGAGGTGGTGGATAATCCCAGTTGCATGAAGAGAGCTCCTAGAGGTCACTGACCGTGACATCATCTGTTAATTGTGTTTCTCTTTTTGAGTGGTCTGGCTTGAGGAGTTTGCTTCCTCCTGTTACAAATGCAGCGTGGCCAAGGGTGATTTTTAATACTTTATTAGCTCAGCCAATATTCCGTATATCAGTTTCTTATGAAGGTAGGTTTGTTTCTTTATCATTCAATCAAAAAAAAGGTTGCTTTAATCAAAAAATATATTTTCAATTAAAAAATATCTTCACTTCAATGAACAAAAAAACTACTCAATCAAAGAAAAAAGTATTTGAATGCAAATAATATATTTGAGACTAAAAAAATACATTTGAACACTGCTTTTCTTTGACTGAAAATGTTTTATTTGATAGAAGTCCAGTCTTTTTTGCTTAAAGCAACTTTTTTAATTGAAGTAACATTGTTTTTTGATTGGACCATATAATGGGTAGGACATTTGTGTCTTTATCATTCAATCAAAAAAGAAGTTGCTTCAAACAAACAAACAACAGAATCAATAAAAAAGTAACTCCCAAATGAGAATTTAGTATAGGTTGACTGGGCACTCTACATTAGACATCCAGTGTCCATCCTCACTAGAGGTGTCTGTGCTGCAATATGATGTATGGAGAGCAATACCAATGTAGTTGCCACTTCCTTGTATTAGAGACTATGTTGTTACAGAGTAGCATATATTCCTTACAATTAACCTTTAGTAACAGAAGCACCTCTGTTCCTCTCTTGAAGCAGTCGGTTTGCAAAATAGATTAGTGAGTTTAGGTTCCCTTTTTTTAGTTGTTGCTTCCCCTGTCATTTTCATGCTACCGTAAATGATCTCTTTATCATGAGCTCATCTGCTCTTTCTGCATTATCTAAAAATCAGTCAACTATTACCAAAGACTGTGAAACGGCCACATTGTAAAAAGCATTTCTTATACAGAGGAAACTCAGCCCAAATATTTTAACTAAGCAAGCACTCATCCAAGCACTGCTTTGTTTTCTTGACAGATGCTATTGTTATTGTAATTATTTGTCATTTACATTTGGAGCAGCAAAAAAGGAATAAAATAGATAATTTTTAATATTTGAGACCAAGTTTCCAACTATTTTTTTTTTAAATTTGTCCAACTTTGATTTTCTTGTTGTCAAGTTCAAGTATTCAGTTGGTCTCGCTCAACTCTCATCTCTTTCATGTGCTGATGGGAATTTTGAGTAATTAATGAAAAAAGCCTCAGAGGACAGAATGAAAGCACAGAAGGGTTGACTATTAAAGTATTTGATCTGTTAGAAGTAGAAA